ACCTAAAACCATCAGCAAGCATTATTGTAATAGGAATAAATTAGACACCTTCCCAGTAAGATCAGGTAATGCCTGAACAAGCATGAACAAGAAACAAGGATGCCCAGTGTCACCAATATTATTCAAATTGTAATGGAAATCCTAGCAATAGCAATAAGAGAAGAAAAAGAAATAGAAAGAAAGAGATTATCGAATGAGATACTATGATACACCTTGAAAATCCCAAAGACTAAACTAAAAAGTTAGCTGAAATAATTAATAATTTTAGCAAAGTAACAAGACAAAAAGTAAATCCTCATAAATCATCAGCATTCCTATATATACACAAACAAAACCTTCAAGAAGAGATAGTAAGAGATACCACATTTAAAATAACTCTAGATAGTATAAACTATCTGGGAGTATACCTGCCAAAACAAACCCAGGAACTATATGAACAAAATTATAAAAAACTTTTTATACAAATAAAAACAGATTTAAATAATTATAGAAATATTAATTGTTCCTGGGTAGGCAGGGCCAATATAATAAAAATGACAATTTTACCTGAACTAATTTAAATACTCAATGCCATTCCAATTAAATTACCAAAAAAATTATTTTACTGAGTTAGAAAAAATAACAAAATTCATTTGGAAGAACAAAAGGTCAAGAACATCAAAGGAACTAATGGGGAAAAATGTAAAAGAAGGAGGTTTAGCAATACAAGATCTTAAACTATATCATAAAGCTGTAATTATCAAAACTATTTGGAACTGGTTAAGAAATAGAAAGATAGATCAGTGGAACAGAGTAGACATAGAATTTACAGAAGCAAATGACTACAGTAACCTTGTGTTTGACAAGTGTAAGAACTTAAGTTTTTGGGATAAGCATTCATTATTTGGTAAAAATTGTTGGGAAAGTTGGAAAGCAGTCTGGTAGAAATTGAGCACAGGCCAATATCTTATACCATATACCAAGATAAGGTCAAAATGGATACATGAACTAGATAGATTACAAGACAATTTGGAGAAAATGGGACCTATTTCCTATCACACTTGTGGACAGGTGAACAATTTATGAATAAACAAGAAGAGACAGACAGCAGTGTGAGGTGTAAAATGGATAATTTCAATTACATTAAATTAAAAAGGATTTGTACAAATAAAACAAACGTAGTCAAGATCAGAAGGAAAGCAGAAAATTGGTGAAAAAAAATTTATAGACAATTTCTCAGATAAAGGTCTCATATCTCAAATATATAGAGAACTTTGTCAAATCTATAAGAATATAAGTCATTCCCCAATTGATAAATGGTCAAAAGATATGAAAAGGCAATTTTCCAATGAAGAAATAAAAACAGTCTACAGTCATATGAAAAAGTGCTCTAAATCATTATTGATTAGAAAAATGCAAATTAAAACAACCTTAAGATATCATTTTATACCGATCAGTTTGGCTAAAATGACTGAAGGGGAAAGCAAGAGATGTTGGAGGGAATATGGAAAAACTGGGACACTAATTCACTGTTGGTAGAACTGTGAACTAATCCAACCATTCTGGAAAATAATCTGGAATTATGCCCAAAGAGCTATTAAACTGTCTCTACCTTTTGCCATAGCAGTGCCACTACTGGGTCTGTTTCCAAAGACGATTAGGGAAAAAGGAGAAGAATCTATATGTTCTAAAATATTTATAACATGTCTTTTTTTGCAGTAGTAAAGAACTGGAAATTGCGGGAATGCCCATCAATTGGGGAATGGCTGAACAAGTTGTGATGGAATACTACTATGCTATAAGAAATTATGAGCTTGATGATCTTAGAAAAACATGGCTAGACTTGCATGAAATAACGAAGAGTGAAAGGAGCAGAACCAAGAGAATGCTGTATACAATAACAGCAGTGTGTGTGTGTGTGTGTGTGTGTGTGTGTCTATGTATTTTTTTTTTTTTGGTGAGGCAATTGGGAGTAAGTGACTTGTCCAGTCACACAGCTAGTGTTTTGTTTTGTCTGAGGCCGGATTTGAACTCAGGCTCTCCTGACTCCAGGGCCAGTGCTCTATGCACTGCGCCACCTAGCTGCCCCAGCAATATTGTTTTAAGAACAACTCTGAAAGGGCAGCTAGGTGGTGCAGTAGATAGAGCACTGGCCCTGGAGTCAGGAGGACCTGAGTTCAAATGCGGCCTCAGATCAAACACATGACACTAGCTGTGTGACCCTGGGCAAGTCACTTAACCCCGATTGCCTAAAAAATAAAAACAAATTTAAAAAAAACTAAAACAAAAAAACAACTTCGAGTAATTAAGTAATTTTGGCTACTATAAATATCCAAGTTAACTACAAAGGACCTATGAAGACACTATCTGCATCTAGAAAAAGAACCAATAAATAGAATTATGTTTAAAATGACATTATACATACACACACCCCACACATGTACATATTTGTGTCTAATGGTAGTCATGGGGGGAAGGAAAAAAAAGTACACTGCTTGATAATAAAAATGTGTGTTTCTCATGCAATTAAATTTATAAGAAAGGAAGGGAGACATGAAGGGAACAAGCTTTTATTAAGCACCTATTGTGTTCCAAGCATTATGCTATAGACTTTACAAATATTATCTCATTTGAGCCCCACAACAACTCTGGGAGGTATTATTATCCAATTTTACAGTTAAGGAAACTGAGGCAAAGAGAGGTTAAATGACTTGCTCAGAGACACAAAACTAATTAAATGTCTGAGGCTGGTTTTTAATTCAGGTCCTCCTAACTCCATTCCAAGAGTTCTATTCCCTGCCTCCTTGCAGCCATTATAATCCTGGGAACACAATGTGCTGAATCGATTTTTGTTCTATATAAAGTGTTACAGTCACATATAAATGTTAGTTTAAAAGAGAATGTCAAGGATGTGATGTTCAAGTGAATAGCCAATGCCTCGAGTCATAAATCAGTTTTTTCCCCTGACCCCATCTGTTTACATCACTTCCTTACAATTTTTTTCCCTTGTTTCCCTTAATGGCTTGTTGTATTTAAGTTCAAAATAAAATAAAATAAAAAAAGAACAGGTATAGGCACACATTTGAGTGAGGGTGGGGAGGGAGGTGATGTTTAATGTTAGATTGCTCCCTACACGAACAATGAAATAGGTTGGGCTAGGAGCACACAATAATTTGCTCCCTTGGTAGCCTGCACATTATACTGGCAAATAAGGTTGTGCCAGATGCTCATAACAAAGTTATGTAAGGTAGCCAGCATTCCTAGGGCCACAGCTACAAGAGCTAACACTTCTCTCAAAAGATACATTGTAAAGCTCATGGAAGTGAATTTAGGCGGTTTCATTTAAATAAAAATGCTACTTCTTAATGACCTCAAAGGGGATTGAGGAAACAAATATTTACAAAGAGAATAGGAAGTATTCAATAAAGCTATACCAGAACACAGAGATACAAATAAATCATTCATTCAACAGTTATTTGCAGAAGACCCACAGAGGATACAAAAATATATCAACAATTTAAAATTTGTGGCTTTAGCGTATATACTATTTAGCAGAACTGAATGATAAAGTCTGGAAATGAAGTTTGAATATTTCAATTCTTTGTCACAGACAAGGAAAAACAGAAGGGGAAGGTGGGGGAAGAGAAAATCTGATTGTCAGTGCTAAAACAGAACTTTATTAAAGTCATGTAATCCAACCTCATATTCAGTAAAGTTAAGTGACTTGGCCAAGGTTACACAGCTATTAAATGGCTGAGATTGGACTTGATCACTATGTGTAAATCCTTCCAGTCTGGTGCTCTTTCCACTAGATTAGAGAGCTCAAATGGAAGGAAGGACAAAATCCTGAGACAGATCCTAATCATAGCATTCTGTGTGAGCTGAAGAAAGGATTAAAAAGTCATCAAGACAATAACTAAATTAGTTGAAATATTAGAGGCAAGCAACAACCAACATTAGAAACATGAGTTTTAATTTATGAATGTTACAGTGCTAAGAAAAATATTTAAGAAAAAAAGTATCTAGATTTTAAAAAATAAAGACATTAGTATATACAGCAGAGAACAACAAAGAAGATGCTAAAAAGTAGACAAGATAGGGAACTAGTAATCTAGAAAATGTCTTGACATTTTTAAAAATTTGCTAACATGTTTTACATGACTGCACATGCATAACCTATATCTTATTGCTTACCATCTCTAGGATGGGGGAGGGGTGAGAGAGAGGGATAGAATTTAAAACTCAAAAATTTAAAAATGTTAAAATGTTAAAAAATTGTTTTAAAATGTAATTGGGGGAAAAAATAAAATATTATATATTAAAGTTTGCTAACAGCTAAAAACCAATACCCCAGAAAACCTAAACTTTCAGTTATGATTCTACATTAGATGCTATTTTTTTAAAAGAGAAATTATACTTTTGATTCAAAGTAAGAGAACATATTTAACTTCAAAATGAGCTTTTGAGAAGAACTTTTGGAATGCTAATTACCTCTGTGGAGATGGAGAAGCATCTAAAATTCACTAAAAACCATAGTCAACAAAAATACATCTACTGTACCTTGATAGTTCTATCCAAAGAGGCACTGGCAAACTGATTATTGTCCTTAGGGTTTATGACAATCTGCATAACATAGTGAGTATGTCCTTCAAATACCTGAGAGCAAGACCATTTTTTATCCCAATCCCACAGTTTAATGAGCATGTCATCTAGTCCAAAAAAAAAAAAAAGAAAAGAAAAAACTTCAAGTTACTAGATTGTTTACATTATAGTCATTGTCCTTACAAAAGTCTTTAAAAAGCTTACTACTGAATCATTCTAAAATTAGAGGAAAAAAATGCAAACCATACTTTCAAAAGAACAAAAACAAAATTGGTGACTGAACACTAATTCTTTAAAGTATATATGTAAATATGTAATAATATAAGCAAGTATAAAATTTTTCTGAGAAAATTCAAAGAAATACCCATTGTGTTTGAAAGCAGTAATAATAACCAAGGGAAATAAATATGACTGGAGGCTATACTTCAGTATAATTGACTAGAGGATATCACTAGCTCTGCAGGAATCTGAAATGGCTATTATGATGAAAAAAGATATTGGTATCAAAGTATGAAAGAACTAATCATTAATGTTCACATCTTGATTTTAATTTTTAAATGTTTTAAATGTCCATAACCAATCTAATGACATTCATTTTATAGTTGGCCTCTAAAAAACTCACCGTTTTGTGCATAATGTTGATAAGCAAAGCTAGTCTAACTATAAAAGCAAAATTGACTGGGAAGTGGAAATCTGCCAAGACTTTACTCATCAGCATGTAAATGAGCTTTCTGTCTGGCAGATGTTTGAGCAACCAGACCTTTGGGTCTTCCTATCTCAGCTATTACTTTTCAAATTCTAAGCACAGTTGATATTTCATTAAAAACACAAAAGTAGTCATCGGATTTAAACACTCCATATGCTAGTGGATATTAGAAATTTCAACTGGAACTGCAGTAAAAGAACAGGGTTTCTTAGTGAATGGAAAATGAATATCCTAGAGAGTTTTGGATGAGAAAGTAGACTATTATATAATATCTTACCACTGCTGGTTAGAATGAAAGGCTGAGTTGGATGGACAGCAATACAACGAATATAGTCTGAGTGTGCTTCAAACATATGAACTCTCTCCAAAGTGTTATAATTGAAGACTCTAATTTGCATGTCATCCTAGAGATAAGAGTAATAAAAATTTCCAAATAAGTACTGATATCACATTTATAAAGCAAATTGAACAAAAGCCTTATTAGAGGCACAAGTAATAAAGTTGAGGCTTCAAAAAATTTCACTGATTAATAAACAAAATAGGAAAAGAAAATTCTGGAAATTATTTACGTATTTGTCAACTAATTCAGAAAATGATAAAAGGAAAGGAAAGTACTCTCAAAGACTACTTACTGCTCCTGTGACTACCCAATTCTTCCTTGCAACAAACTTTGCTGCTCGAACAGGAAGATCACATACTTCAAATGTCTTCACCAGAGTCTTAAAATTTAAAAAGAAAGAAATGTGCTGTTATGATAAAATGAAAAATACCTTCTGCTAGTCAATTCCATATTACAAGAGACCAAAAAATTGTAACAGTACAAAATCTGTAGGATATATACATTAAAAAGCATTCTAATTCTATCAATTATCTTTTCTTCCCATGTCTGGTCAAGTGATATTTGATCTGATTTAGATGAGTAGTGTTAAACTCAAATAGAAATTACCCCTGCAGGCAGCATATTGACTTAGAAATCCACAAATTGACATTATCTATGTTGTAATGTATTTTATTCTGTTAAACATTTCCCAATTATATTTTAATCTGATTGGGCCTTAAAGGAGTTTGCCTTTTTTTTCTCCTTCTTCCCTTCCAGCTACCCTCCTTCTTCTCAATTTCACACCTCTGATTTAGACCTACTAGAATCTTACTATTATTTTTTAAACAACAATCTATGTAAAATTAATTTTATAACAAGAGATGGCCAATAATTAAAAATTAAGAGTCACAGAAGTTTACTGCAATATCATATTAAAGGGAGAAAAGTTAATTTTCTTTATTCAACACCTGCTGCTAATACATAAAAGAATGTAATTACAGTGAAGGAATTTTGCCCTTTAGTTTTAGCAATAAATTGAAGAAAGCATTAAATTTGACACCATTTGCTATTTTGCAATATTTAGTAACTAAAATCACCAAACCAAAAAAATAAGTAAATGCCCCTAGACAATATATAATGTGTACTTGTACTAGATAACATTTAGCTAAAATTTTAAGCATTTTAAATATGTTTAAATATTATTTTAACTGATTAAAATGAGTTAGCATTTTATGGAGCAAACAGTCTTTTATAATTTGCTAACAAAGACAATTTGTTAAATTTGTTAAAATCTGTTTTCATAAGAGCACCTCTTGCCTCCTTTTAAAAATATTTCTAGGAAAACTGGGAGAGAAATGCTAATTAATGGTTTAAACATATCTAACAGTTAGTTCTTCAAGGATATTTGTGTAAAGCCTTTAAAGTCAAATTAATTAATCTTGACCAGAAAGAACCAAGACTTGGTTGCCATTTCTTATTCCCAAAACTCTTTTCTGCAAGATTCCTATAGAAGGAATGTGTTGAGAATAGTAATGATCTGATATCTGAAGGAGCTCCCTAACATAAAAAAAAAAATCTTTCAACTATTTTAATAATTAGCATGCCCTGTCCTAGTATAGTTTCTCTGTTGTCATTTGCTACAGAGTACTAAAGCAACAGCACAGCTAGGTGGCACAGTGGACAGAACACCGGGTCTGGAGTTATGAAGACCTGAGTTCAAATGTTGTCTCAGACACTAGCTGTGTTACCACGATCAAGTCACCCTATTTGCCTCATTTTCTTCATCTGTACAATGAGCTAGAGAAGGAAATGGCAAACCACTCCAACATCTTTGCCAAGAAAACCCCAACTGGGGTCATGAAAAGTAAGACACAACTGAAATGACTGACCAAATTAAAACACATCTAGTTTCTACTTTGTAGAAACAGGTGGGGGAAGGGAAACAGCTGGAAAATAAGCAACCTCATCCCTAAGAATTCTTCCTCTTCAAAATTTTTGGCAAATAGATTTGATAAATTCACAAATAGATTATTCCTAAATAGGCTTTATTTTTATCAGTGGAATACACAGAATATGAAGATAGGGATGAAATAATTAAGTATCTAGGTTAAGATGCTTATAGATAACTTTCCAAAGTATTCTCTGACATAGCTCTAAAATAAAAACATTTTTCTTTCAGTTGTGCTCTATTATCCATTGTAATAGAGGAACAGATCAACAGATAATTTGTTTTTAACAAAATACATTTCCTTTGGGTCTTTCTTCAAGCAACAGGACAGGAATAATTGGATTTAAAGAGTTTGCCATAAGAGAGTTATCAAAGTTGCTTGTAAAACTCCCCAAATCAGATCAAAATGTAATTGGGAAATGTTCAACAAAACAAACAAAAATACAATACAACATAGATAATGTTAAGTTGTAGTTTTCTAATAAGTGGTCTGTAGGGGTCTAGTTCTATTTGAGTTTGACACCACTGCTCTATAATACCAGTTCTATAAATAGCAAACCTATTTTTCATTCCTGCCCAGGAGACTCGCACTAACAATGGTTTATATGAATATGACAAACTCTGTTTAATGAAAGATCCCATAGAAGTTTTAAGTTCACAAGTTTCTGAGCTATACCAATTCACAAAGTAACTAATTTCCCTTTTTTTGGAGCACTCTTTACCAAAAACCAGTTATAAAACTCAAACAAATTTTAAATAACATACTAAATTCTATTAAGACATTATACTGCATTACATATAATTATATCAGAATATAGGAGTACTGGCCCTCTCAGATATCACTGTTTTAGAAAAAGCAAAATATTCTTCTAAGTAGCCCTACCTACCCCTACCAAAAATGTTTACTTTTCCTAAGCCAAAATAACAAGAACCATGATCTAATTCTCCTTTGTACTGTTTTATTAAGCTTCCATATTAACAAAGATTAGATTCATTGTGTCAATCTGGGTGTCCTTTCAAAATCATTACAGCTGAATTCTACATGGAGCTAACAAGTTGGAAATTTGGGCCACAATTTTGCAAAGAATAGGAATAGGAATGGTAACTGGGTGTTTTCCTCAATCCTACTTTGAAGCCCTTTTCCTACAAATACTAAAAAACCAAATTGTTCTCTCTCAAATCTTCTTTTAACAGAGAGCAACAAAAAGCTCACAGGAAATTAAAACACAATTTTTGAGAAGACACACTAAAAGAATTTTTGCACAAAAAAGAATAGGAGATTGGCTATGCTGAATGGTGGGCACTATAGAGCAAATATATTCAGACTTGCTTTCTCTACTAAGATTATTCTCTAAAGGATCCTCATATAAGGGTATGGAGAGATAAGAGAATCCTCAATAGCCTTTACAATCATGACATTTTCATTGAGTGAAACAGCAGAGCAGAAGAAAAATCAAAACAGTAGCTCTGTGAGGCATCAAAAGGGATACAAGGAAAATGGCAAAAAGCTCTACTGGTAAGGATGGTGAAGTAGGAAGTTAATTGAGAGGAGAAATAAGTCAATTAAACAATACAGACCAATCAAAGAGATACTGAGTGCCTAAAAGGTTCTCTGAATGATACAGAAGGGAAATCTCTGCCCTCAAGGAGATTACAAAACAAAAAAGTAGACAAAATATATAAATGGTAAAAGCAGGCAATATAAGATGTAATTAAATTCCAAACTGTTGGGCAAATATATGAGTTCAACAAGAATTAAATAGTTTATATTTGATCCTACAGGCTATAGGAAGCCATTGGAATCAAATGACTTGAAGAGTCACACTTGAAGAGTGACATGGTCAGAACCAGTGCTTAGGAAAATCACTTTCACAGCTGTATGGAAAATGACCTGTCAAGGAAAGAGATCAACATAACAGAGTCAGGGCTAGGACAAAACTTCGAAGTCAACAAGTTCGACACCTTTGCTTTACAGATGAGGCCTCAAAGGGTTATGTGATTTGACCAGGGTCACACAGCTAATAAGTATCTGAGATAGGATCTGAACTCAGATCTTTCTGACTCAAAATCCAGTGCTCTATTCATTGCACCAACTAGAATGGAAGTGAGAAGACTGAGTAGAAGACTACTTGTCTCCTAACAGAAGAAAGGCAAAGAACTTGAACTAGATTAATGGCCTTGGAACTGGAGAGGAGGGGATGGATTCAAGAGATGCTTAGATGGGTAGAACTGACAAGACTCAGCAAATGATTGGACATGTGGGGTGAAAGTGAGTGAGGAGTCAAGAACAACACCATAGTTGCAAACTTAGGCAGACTTAAAAGATGGTAATGTCCAACATAGAAATTGGGAAGTTCAGAAGTAGGGTGACTATGGTGAAGATTCAGTTTTGGACACATTGAATTTGAGATACTTTAGGGAAATATAGTTTGAAATATCCAGGCAGTTGGAAATATGCCACTGGCCCTCAAGAAAGACTAAGGTTAGATATAGCAATGTGGTAGCCACCTACATTCCAGGCATATTATCTACTATCTTAATAATCATGTGTCTATGATCAAGAATTGACTGTACTCAAATATATTACATAATATCTAAGTCAGTAAAACTAATTTTTAGGATTGTCAGAAATTATTCTTAAATAATATATCATATATATTTAACAACTCCGATGAATTCACTGTATCTATTAACATATCTTTTACTTTTACACTGAGCACACACTAATACAGTACTTTATTTCTCTTAAGTGCTCCAAAAAATATCCTTACCTGTGTTTCATGATTCCAAACACAGACACTGCCATTGTAAAGACTAGCCAACATCCATGGCTCTGTGGGATGCAAATCGACACTCTTGACCCGATCAGATCGAGCAGTTAGCTTCCTCTTGATATCAAGTCTAAGAGGCTAAGGACAAATTAAAAATGTTAAATTAGTGAGTGAATAAAATGCAACCATTTTTTCAAGAAGTTTCCCTAGTTTTTTTCTTCACCACACCAAAATTCAGAAAAATTTTCAGGTTTAATGTTCCTATTTCCTCTCTTACCACAGAAAGCTAGAAATGTTCACATGGCCAAATCTAAGCCTAACCATTTACCCAGTAATCCTGATTCTCTCTTGTAATTCTGTGCTTCTACAATTTGCCTTGACAAAAAAAAAAAAAGGCCTGTCATTTAAAGAATACAAATGATATTAAATTATAATTATATATAATAAATTATATAAACAAAAAACAAATAAACTATATACATGATTATGAAAGCCTTACATAAGTACAATAGAATTGCTTTGGCAAAAATGATAACTAAATATTAAACAATTTAAAGTGAGATTAATTTGTAAGAGACAAGTGTAATATACAATCACCATAGGCTTTTGGAGTTTACATGAAAATGTTTATGATATTTTATGGGCTTTGGCACTTTGATTCCTTTGAGTCCAGAGCTTATAATACATGTCCAGCTTCAAACATGGTCTAAAAATCTATCTGAAAAGTTAGTTCATATTCCATATCTATTAAATTCTTAGCTTTCCTACTGTCTAACACAAATGACATATAAGACTTATGGGTCATTTTAGTTCAGGACAACAACCTGAAAGAAAATGTCTAAACCCAAAGAACTCCATTTGTACAGAAATATATTTGTCAGAAATCCATTTTATTATATCTTTAATATCTCTGGAAATCCTCATAGAAAAACCTTTTTACATATTTCTCAATTCGTACTAGATTTATTAAGTTCTTACTATGTGCAATGTGCTAAGCACTAGAGGAGTTTCCAAAAGTAATATAGAGTCCCTGTCTTTAGTAAACTTGCAATTGGCTAGAGAACTGTAACACATAAAGAAATAACTTTAACATAAAATAATATATAACTGAATAAGAGATGTAAACAAAGACTTAAAAGAGGTTTAAGGAAGGAAATCTCATTATAGCCTGCAAAGATCAAGGGAGGCCTCATTACAGAAGTAAGGTTATCTTTCAAGAATGGGGAAAACAACTAGCAAAAAGAACACTTCAGGGATAAAAAATAACATGAGCAAAGTCACGGGTACAGGAAAATGCAGGACACATACCAGAAGAGGTGAACAGCCCAGTTCAGCTGGATCAGAGATAACATAGCAGGGGGAGTAATATAACATGAGTTGTCTTACTTTATTTTCCAAACATCTGCTGGTATGATCCCTCTGCCAAAAACAGAGCAGCTAATTCTTGGTTTGCTTTAATAAATACATTCCTCACAAGGGGGAAAAGGCAAAAAGGGCAACTGCTATTCTGAACCTGATCATGAACAAAAAAGAAAAACTACACGCTGAAATAGATGTAATGAAAACCTTGGGAAACGGAAATAATCATTGTATCTGAGAATGAGAGGAAACATGGAATAGTGGACTGAGTGCTAGACTTAAAAGAGGAAACATCAGTTCAAATTCCATCTCTGATCCTCAGGAGCTATGTGATCCTGTACAAATCATTTAAAGGCTACAGCCTCAGTTTCTTCATCTACAAAATGGGGATAATAATAACTGTAGTATTTACCCTATAAGGTTATTATGAGGATCAAATGAGATTATGTAAAGCAATTTGCAAAGCTTTATAATGTTTTACTATTAGTTGTCCCTATAAAATTTCAGTTAACTGACACAATAGTCAATGACTATAGTAATCCACTGTTTGATAAATCAAAGACTCCAACTTCTGGGATAAGAACTCACTATTTAACCAAAAGTGCTGGGAAAACTGGAAAATAGTATGGCAAAAATAAGGCATAGATCAACATCTTATACCCTATACCAAGATAAAGTCAAAATGGTACATGATTTAGATAGAAAGGCTGATACTATAAGCAAACTGGGAAGGAATAATTTACTTATCAGATTTATGGAGAACAGAAGAATTTATGACCAAGCAAGAAATAGAGAACATTATAAAATGCAAAATGGATAATTGTGATTACAGTAATTTGAAAAGTTTTTGCACAAACAAAGCCAACGCAACCAAGATTAGGAGGGAAGCAGAAAACTGGGAAAGAATTTTTACAGTGTCTCTGATAAAGGCCTCATTTCTAAACTATGTAGAGAACTGAGTCAAACTTATAAGAATACAAGTCATTCTCTAATTGATAAATGGTCAAAGGATATGAACAGGCAGTTTTCAGAGGAAGAAATTAAAGTTATCTATACTCATATGAAAAAATGCTCTAAATCACTATTGATTAGAGAAATACAAATCAAAACAACTCTGATGTACACCTATCAGACTGGCCAACATGACAAAACAGGAAAATGATAAATGCTGGAGAAGATGTGGGAAAATTGGAACACTAATGGATTGTTGGTGGAGTTATGAACTTATCCAACCACTCTGGAGAGCAATTTAGAACTATACCCAAAGGGTTATAAAACTGTCCATACCCTTTGACCCAGCAATATCACTTCTAGATCTGTATCCCAAAGAGATCATACAAATGGGAAAAGGACCCACATGTACAAAAATATTTATAGCAGCTCTTTTTGTCACAGCCAAGAATTGGAAATTGTGGGGTACCCATCAGCTGGCGAATGGCTGAACAAGTTGTGGTATATGAATGTAATGGAACACTATTGTGCTGTAAGAAATGATGAGCAGGTGGACTTCAGAAAAACCTGGAAAGACTTATATGAACTGATGCTGAGTGAAGGGAGCAGAACCAGAGAACACTGTACACAGTAACAGCCACATTCTATGATGACTAACTTTCATGGACTTGACTGTTCTCAGCAATGCAAGAATCTAAGACAAGTCCAGAAGACTCATGACGGAAAAAGTTGTCCACATCCAGAGAAAGAACTCCATAGTTCTTTTTTGGATGCAGACCAAAGCATACTATTTACTCTCTTTGTTGTTGTTGTTTTGTTTTGTTTTATTTCTTCTTTCTCACGGTTCCTCCCATTGGCTCTAATTCTTTACAACACGACTAATGTGAAAATATGTTTAATATGAATGTATATGTAGAGCCTATATCAGACTGCATGCCGTTTGGGGGAGGGCAGTTGAAGAGGAAGAAAATTTAAAACTCAAAAGCTTATGGAAGTGAATGTTGAAAACCAAAAATAAATATATAAATTAAAATATTTTTGGCTAATTTCATTTAGTTCAACATTCTAACCTGGTTAAAAGAGCCCTCTGGATACCAACTCCATCATCCAATGTGGATTAGCTATACCTTCTACCTTCCTGTATCTACAAATATGAGAAGCATGCCATCTTTCCTCTTATCCAAACCACTAATAAAATATTAAACAGCACAAGGCCAAGTTCAAGCTCTCTACTAGAGACCTCTAAGTCGACATTGAACCTTTAATGAGTATTCTTTGGATTTAGTCATTCAAACAGTTCTGAATCTACTTTGCTTTACTCTCATACAGCCAGTTTACATCTATTTTTCCCACAAGGATATCATGAGTTGCTTGATCAAATACTTTGCAGAAATCGAGGAAAAACTCTTCTGTTAATCTACCACCGGAACAAAATTAATCCTCTCAAAAAATCCGATGACATTACTTTGGCACAACCTATTTTTGATCAAGCTATTCCAGAACAATTTTCTTTTCCAAATTTTCATTAACCATACTTTTGATAATACATTATAGTATTTTGACAGGAATCAAAGTCAGGTTATAATATATAGACTATTCCCTTTCTGAAAAGTTGGAATGACATTATTTGCCCTTTTTCAGTCCTCTACTATCCTAAAAATTCCTAATAGTTCAGTAATCACAATCACCATTACAGCTACCCTGAGATACAGCTTGGAGGAGAGCAAACAGCATGGTGAAAGGCTTCAGTCATGCTATTTGAGAAGTGGTTCAAATAACTGATATTTAGCCTAAGGAAAAGTAGAGTTAGTGGGGGACATGATAACTCTCTTCAAGATTGGGGTGGGGAGAGGGGGTCACACGGAAGAGGGATTAACCTTGTTCTTTTTGGCCCCAAACGACAGAACCAGAAGTTCTGATAAGAAGTCACAGAGAGGTAGATATTTGCTTGACATACAGAAAAAAAACTTCTAACAGAAAAGCTATCCCAAAGTAGAACAGGATGCTTTGGGAGACACTGAGTTATTTCTCACCTGAGGCCTTGAAGTCATCCAACATTCCCTTCTTTTCACTTCAAAACATCCATCGCCATACATTCCTCACTATCTTGGGCTTTCTCTGCTATCTTCACCTACCTTTTCTACCTTCTAGTACTTCTCTATATGTTTTCTTGATTCCATCCACTCCAGCCTCCCCCAGGAATTTCCCCATGTGGCTCCTTTCCCTCTACCTACAAACATGCTAATTCTATCCTATTTTTTAAAAAATAATCTCTTTATATTGCTACTCCACTGAGCTGCATCCTGTTTTTTTTAAACAATCTTCTCAGCACCAAACTCCTCAAAAGAGGTGTTACCTCTGCCTCTACTTCCTCAACACTCATTAATTCTATACTCACTCCCTTTTAATCTAGCCACAGCTCCCATAATTTAACCCAAACTATTCCTCTGAATGTCACCAAAGACCTATGAATTGCCAATGGTCTCTCCTTAGTTTTCAACCTCTTTGACCTCCGTGGCATCTGATGCTACCGACTATACATTTATCTTGGAACTTTATCCATCTTGAGCATTAGTAACACTTGGCTTTCAGTAATTTCTCATTTGTTCAATAAATCTGTATTAAGTACCTAATATTTTCTAAATATCAAAGGAAAATACAAAGGTCAGTTAAGACAAAGTCCATGCCCTCATAGAGCTTATAATCTAGTAGGTAAATAAAACACACAATTAATCCCATAACAAAGTTGTCTATACAAAATAACGTCATGTGAGGTTCTGAAAGACATTTATCAACTGGGACAGAAGGAATCAAAGAAAGTTTCATAAAGAAAGTGGCACTTAACCATCTCCATAACCAAAAAGGAGCTAACAGTCTCTGCACTGGTTAGACTACATTTGTACTATTATATTTAGATGCTACATTTTAAGATGGAAATTGACAAGGTAAACTATATCTAAAGGAGAGTGAAAAGGAGGAAGGAGGACTCATAATACATGGATTATTGAAAAAATTGTGCAAGAGAGATTTAGCAGGAATTAGCTTCAAATATTTAAAAAGCTATCATGTGATAGAGGTGTTAGATTTATTTTATGTGATTTTAGAAAGCAGAACAAAGACCTGTGAGTAAAATTATAAAGAATATAAGCTCAACATTACAAAGAAATTCCTAACAATTAGATTTCTCTAAAACTGGCATAGACTGTCTCCTGAAGTACTAAATCCTCTGTCCGTAAAGGTGCTTATACATAGGTTGAATGATGACTTGCCACAGTAAAAGGAGATTCAGATAGATGGTAGGACTAAGTGACTTCTTACATCCCTTCCAACTCTATGATTCTAGCTCTCATGTTGCTATTGACTGCATAACTTTGGACAATCATTTAACCTTTTCTGACTTACATCTCCTCATCTGCAAGATTAATTTATTCTTAAGATTCTTTCACGATTAAACTATTCTATGAGTCCATCATGCTTTGTGATGAGAAAAGAGGGGAAGAAAAAATAATTAAACCTGGCATAAATAATTCCTTACATTTTCTTAAGAAACAAGACATGTGCCCTTTTGAGGAAACCCTGAATGTAGTAATAACACACTTGCCATCAAATACTTGTAAAGATATTTCTGAGAATGAGAAATAATATTCAAGTGACATTAAAATGGCAACTTATGTTTTTAGGAATATAAGGAATGGATAACAGGAGTTTTCACACACCAAATTTTTTCCCCTATAGATCTAAAACTTTAATAACGTACACTTCAACATTTCTAGATTTATAAAATTCTAGTTAAAATGGTCTGGAGACAATTTTATTAGACTAAGTTTGTCCTTTACATACATAAAAATGTTTGTTGTCCTTTACTCAACTTTACACCTTTTAAGTGCTATATAATAAGATCAAGGTACCTATTTTTAGTAGTATATTCTCCACCAGTGTCCAACCTTGTATCATAATGACCACAGAGTTGGAAGATAACTTGAAAATCATCTAAATGAGCACTTTTATGATAACAACTTTCATGCTAACAGCTATGACTGTCACTTTCATCTTCACCTGAGAAATGATCCGCCTTGAAAAATAGCATTCGCTTTAGAAAGAGGCATTATGATATAATGTTCTTAGGTCAGTACAGTTCTTGTTTCTCTCTGGGTGTCATCTCCAATAACAGCAGCAGCAGACTGACAGTTATACTGAGCTTTAAAGATTTGCAAAACGCTTTGCCCAAGTGACTTCATTTGGTCCTCGGAACACTTGGAGTAAGGACTAGAATGTTATTTCCACTTCACCGATGCAGAAAGTGAGTCTCGGAATGGTCAAATAATTTACCCACGAGGGAAAGCAGCCGACACCCCGTTTCTCCCACTTGTAGCCCAAGCCGCGCCCCACCCCCGCCCCATCCCTCCTTCGGGGACAGATGTCCCCCAACACCGGGGGCCCATAACTCCTGCACACAGCCAGGTGGGGACGGCGGCGGCAGGGGCCCAGGGCGCTCTCGGGGCCCCTCCGGGTGACCCGGGGCCTGCCTCTTCCCCTCCCCCTCTCCCATTACAGAAAGCCTAGAGAAGATCCCCGTAGCTGCCCTGGCCACGGCAAGCCCTGCAGGGCCAGAGCCGATCCGCCCCGCGCTTTTATTTGTTCGTTTATTTCTAAGCCGGCAAGGCCAAGGTCTCACCATGGCTCCGTCAACGTTGCCAAACTCCCTCGCTCGATGCCGGGTCCCGGGGCCCGCTGGCTCGGGGTCGACGCTGGCACTGGCAGAACACTGACCAACTGACTGACGTGGAGCTTCCGGGAGCCGGCTCTCGCGAGTTCTGGAGCCTCAGCACCGGAAAGCCGGGACTAACCTCGCGAGAGTTTTCACCGCTCCCTGGCTCAGGGTTCACATTCTCCCCACCCACTACACCTCACTTCCGTCCGTTGCCTTGGCAACCCGAACGGAGACCGAGGCCCTAACCGAGCCCCGGACCTCGGATGCGTGGTCGTTCGGCCTCGGGCCTTTTCCCTCTGCCCGGGTCGCCTGCTTGACCACCAACAGAGCTGCAGGGAACGTGGAGAGACGCCAGACTTACGATCCCCGCGATGCGCCAGGTTGAGGCGAGCCCACTCCTCGCTGGAAAGCAAAGCTTCCTAGGCCGCCCTTGCCCCTTTCACGTTTTGGTCCCTGAGGAGACCGAGGCGGCCTGGCCTGGTCGAGCGGCTCGGGCTGTGAAGAAGCCCCGGTGTCCCTGTGGAAGCCTGGAGATCCAGACTCAAGCCCTGACTACCCCTCCCCCACAGGATCTAGAGTTGGAAGGGATCCCAGAGATCACCTGGGCTCCCCCTCCCCACCCCTGCCTTCTTACAGATGACCGAAAAAGGTCAAATAGCCTTTGCCCCGGGTCTCCCAACCTTTGTCTCTGGGATCGGGCGGTGGTGCTAGTGAGTAGAGAAGGTTGGATTCGGATCCTGCTTCAGATACTTTGTGACCTCTGACCTCTCAGCCTTAGTTTTCTCATTTGTATGTAGGAACTGAACTAAGGTTTTGTTGTGTTGGGTTTTTTTAGGGGGGCGGGGGAGGAGAAATTTTACCCCCAAGTGTTGGGAGAAATGTACATTTTTTCTTACTATATCTGTGAAGTAAATAGACCTTTGTAAAAACCAATCTATGTTAAGTGGTTATGTGGAACTGGGGGCTAGTTACTGGCCCCCTAAAAATAGGAGAAAACAGCTAGTGGAGCTTTGAGCTGGTGAAGTAGAGGAAAAAAGCAACCCCAAGTTTCACAGGGTACTTAAGGAGGGCGAGAGGGGAGGGGAGGAGTACCCAGCCTACCCCAGAGAGACTGAGGGCAGATCAACCTCTTTAATGTGAGATGCTAAGATAATGTTTGAGAAGTGCTTTTCATCTAAGTTTTGACTGAAGTTTTATAACTGAGCTATTATTATAAATCCAGAATTCCACTAAACCACCTTGCCTCTATTCTTGGTCTCAGTCTCTGACTGTAAAAGATAGGGGGTGGACTAAATCCTTTACTAGCTCTGATATTTATTCTATGAAAGATTTTTTTAGTTTGGTGAAGAGAAGGATGTGGTTTGATAACTATTTTTCCAGGGGCTTTAAAAATGGGATACAAATTCTTTGTACCAGAGAAGACAGCTTTTTTTTGCATAATATTTTATTTTTTTCCCCAGTTACATTCATTTTTCAAAATTTCAAGTTCCCAATTCCCTCCTTCCCTTCCCCTTTCCCTGAGTGAGCAATTTGATAAAGGTTATATATGTGCAATTATGCAAAGCATATTTCCATATTAGTCATGCTGTGAAAGAAAACAGACAAAAACATGAAAAAAATAAAGTGAAAAGTAGTATGTTTAGATCTGTATTCAGACTCCATCAGTTAGTTATTTTTCTGGAGGTAGGTAGCATTTTTTCATCATGAGTCCTTTGGAATTGTCTTGGATTGTTGTATTGCTGAATTATTCACAGTTGACCATCATACAATAATGCTATTACTGTATACAATGTACTGGTTCTCACTTTGCATGAGTTCATGTAGATCTTTCCAGGTTTTTCTGAAATTATCCTGCTTGTCATTTCTTACAGCACAATAGTATTCCATTACAATCATATACCACAACTTGTTCAGCCATTCCCCAATTGATGGATATCTCCTCAATTTCTAATTCTTTGCTACTATAAATATTTTTGTAGAAATAGGTACTCACCCCTCCTCCTTTTTTTAAATTTCTGGATACAGACCTAGTAGTGCTATTGCTGCACCAAAGGGTATGCAGTTTTATAGCCCTTTGGAACTGGTTCCAACCTATTCTCCAGGATTGTTGGATCAATTCACAACTCCACTAATAGTGTGTTAGTATCCCAGTTTTCCCATATCCCCTCTAACATTGATCATTTTCCTTTTCTGTCATATTAGCCAATCTGATAGGTGTGAAGTGGTACCTCAGACTTGTTTTTATTTACATTTCTCTAATCAATAGTGATAAAGAGCATTTTTTCATATGACTATAGATAGCTTTGATTTCTTCTGTTGTTTATTCTCTTTGACCATTTATCAATTGGAGAATGACTGGTATTCGTATCAATTTTTCCAAGTTCTTTACCTGTTTGAGAAAAGAGGCCTTTATCAGAGACACTTGTAAAAAAAATTTTCCCCAGCTTTCTGATTTCCTTCTAATCTTGGTTGCATTTGGTTTTGTTTATGCAAAACCTTTTTAATTTAATATAATTAAAATTATCCATTTTATATCTAGTAATGCTCTCTATCTCTTGTTTGGTCATATAAATTCTTCCCTTCTCCATAAATCAGACAGGTAAATTATTCCTTGCTCTCCTAAATTGTTTACAGTATCACCCTTTATGACTAAATCATGTACCTATTTTGACCTTACCTCAGTATGCAATGTGAGATGTTGGTCTGTACCTAGTTTCTGCCATTCTGTTTTCCAGATTTCCCAGCAGTTTTTGTCAAATAGTGATTTCTTTCCCAAAAGCTTAGGACACTAGATTACTATGGTCATTTACTACTGTGTATTATATACCTAATCTATTCCACTGATGGAAACAGATTAAGGTTGGAAATTTGGGGTTTCATAGGGAAGAACTTCTTGAACAATTTGTGATTAAGAGACTGACAGAAGAAGAGCATAGGATCTTCATCTCTGGATATCTTTGAGAAGATTTTCCCAGTCTTCAGAAACAAAGGAAAAACAACAATAACAACTGTCTTTGGGAAGAAAATAGATAATTTGATAGTTTTTAGACATGTGGTGTGGTGGAACCAGAAGTATACCGGGTCAGGAGCTAGATTCTGGGCCTACCTGTACATCTGTAGGCATTTCACTTAACCAACGTCTTTGAACCTCAGTTTTCTCACTTGTAAAATGTAGATAGAATCATGCACGTAGTGTTGTAGGGATCAAATGCTCGCATGTATTTTGTAACTGAATTACTAGGTAAATATAAGGTATTATTTGATTGAAGACAGGGAGATTGAACTAATAGCTTGTAATCCTTTTTTCGGCTCTTTCCCTGAGCAATGATCTAAACACTATTGGTAGGTTTATTATCCCAGTGATGCTTCTGTCTGGCTTTGTAGAGGATGCTTACTCTGGCCATCATAAATATAACTCATACTTTTAACTAAATACCTAGTTTACAGCTACTTATAGCTAATAAGAGCTTTACAACATACTAGGTATTGAACACAAAAAGAAAAGTTTTTTTTCACTCTGGTTGAAATGAACATTTTAACTAGATAGAACGCACACACTTCCATAGATAGAGCATTTATTGCATGTTAAATATGTGCCAGGAACTGTGCTAAGTGTTGCTATATTAATAAAAGCAAGGCAGTTGTCCTCTAGGAGCTTGAATTCTAATAGAGAATACAGTACATAAAGAGGAGTTAGAAAGTGGTGGTACACACTCTGACATGATATACAGATAACCAGGAAGTGAGGTGGAAGCCTGGATCCAGGTAAGACAAGGCAAAAACTCAGAGCTAAGATGGTTGTAGGGGCAGAGTCCAAGGTTCTGATGGAAAAGAGGTGGAAATGATAGCCCAAGCAGAAAAGGCATGGCATGGAAATGGTCAGGATATATGTATTTGGGGAAAATGCCTTTATGTTTGGTTCTGATAGTTTTCCATCCACTCCCTGTGACATTTAAAAAATCTGAGAGATATTTCTAGCTAGTCATTTTATTAAAAATGCTCACATTTTAATAAAAGAGGTCAATGCACTCTGGAATGCCAAAGACCCTTATGGTGGTGTGCTCCCTCAAGGCTTATATGGCTTTGGAAAAGTGGGTATTCCAGAGGGTGGCAATCAATTCTGATTGGTTAACAAGTAATGACAAAGAATGAATATTAATGATGAGGGGCTGAAGCTACTCTAATAAACTTTGATTATATCATTTACTTCTAAATTGCCCTCAGCCTTGAGCAATTTAATAAAAGAATTTATCCCCTCCCCTTAAACCTGAATAGTACACAATGGGCTTCTCCATCTTAGATTAAATTCCTTGTAAGGTTAGGTGGGGTCTGACCAAGGTTGTGAAGAGTAAATTCAATTTCATTATCAGTAATGTCCTTCAAGAGACTGAACTTTGAAATGAGGATTATAGCAAAATGGGGAACTCTGGATCACCCCAAATCATTGGTCATTAATAATCATTTCTCTTATCCCAGAGATTTATTCTTGTGATAAGGAAGGATTAAGAAACACTTTGGGGAAGTAAGGGAATATGGACAAGCTGAACATGAGAGTAAAGTAGAGCTCCCAATGGGCCAGAGACCATTTCAGAGGCAAGATCAGCTGATCTTGACATTTTCACCATTTCCCAAACCTTATTTTCTGTGGTTTATTGTTTCACAAGTGGAAGGCAAAGTGATCAGATGATAGTCCATTCTCCCATAGTAATAATTTGATGGTCACTGCCTGACCTCCATAACCTTTATAATTTTCAAAAAATAGGAACTCTTCCTCTGGAAAAGGTGGGGTTCCTCCATGTTCTGTTGAGCTGTATTAATCTAAGAAGGTTTTTAGCTGATGATGTTCAAACAGTTTTATACTGTTTCTGTATCACTAAAATAAAAGACATTTTTCTCTTAGTAATAGAGACCATGGGCCAGGCCTACATTAGGCTGGTTCAGTTGTTCAAGTTTTAGGTTATAACAAGATGAGGTACTCATAGATAGTGTGACAGGTATCAAAAGGAGGTTTATGTAACTTAGAAGGTTTTTCTGGAAGACCTCAGCATTGATTCATTTGGGTGCATTTTCCTCTACGGTTGCAT